CTTTCCACAGATGTAGTTGATTTAATTCCTGCGTATTCCATCCGGTGAGGTCCATGTGCGTAGTCGCTGTTTATGTTGTTGAAAAAAGATATTTGCAATGAGGAAGTCATTGGTCTTGCAAAATTCTATGTGATCTCTGATGTCCTGTCTATTACCGAGGCCACATTTTCCAACTACTGATCCTTCTTCTTTGTTTGCAACTTTCGCATTCCAAACACCAGTAATTATCAGTGCATCTTGATTGCATGTTTGATCAATTTCAGACAGCAGAAGTTGGTAAAAATCTTCAATGTTTTCATCTTTCACATTAGTAGCTGGTGTGTAAATTTGAATAATAGTCATATGAACTGGTCTTCCTTGTAGGTGTATGGATAGTATCCTATTACTGACAACATTGTACTTCAGGATAGATCTTGAAATGCTCTTTTTGATGATGAATGCAATGCCATTCTTCTTCGGTTCGTTATTCCTGGCATAGTAGACCATATGATTGTCTGATTCGGAACGGCCAATACCAGTCCATTTTAGCTCAGTAATGCCTAGGATATTGATCTTGATGCGTTCCATTTCATTTTTGATGACTTCCAATTTTCCTAGATTCATACTTCGTACAGTTCCACGTTCTGATTATTAATGGATGTTTGCAGCTGTTTCTTCTCATTTTCAGTTGTGCAATGTCAGCAAATCTATATGTGCACATACTTTAGTCATACTAAAGAAGGGGTAAAACTAAGGCAATTAATTTAAAAATCAGATATTATTCCCTTGGAAGATAACTACATACTTGGACATGTCAGCATTAGAGCAAATTGCTGAAGGCTCTTTTCAATTTCATCTCTTGAAGCTCATGTGGCCAATGAAAATTACTCATTGTAGTCCTGAATAGCCATATGCCCGACAATGTCTCGTTTTACAACATTTTCCTCCACAAATTTTTTGAATCCATAGTCTTTTTCTTTTCACTCAGCTTCCCTCTTCCTCAACCAAAATGTCTTTTGCTCAGATTAAAGTCATTTACCCAAAGGAATGAATAAATGATTACTTCCCGGAGGCAGTTATATTTTAAAAGAAAACCATTTCCTAAATGAATCTCTAATGGACCAAATTTCAGGCAATTTAACAATCTCACTAGAATTCAGGTCTTTCCGGTGTCCCTTACAACATATTCCTAGGTAATTGTCTAGTACAGTAGTGTTTTTCAAACTTTAGAAGCCATGGAAATCTTGCTTCAAACAAAATTAGGCAGCAGCCCAGTGTCCAGAAGTGACAAAGGCTAAAATACTCTTGTTGAAGTGAGGATGGGGATCCAGAACCCTTCCCACTCGTCCTTGCTTCTGTCCCCCAGTCATTGCCTCAGAGGCGTACACCTAGAACAACCTGGTAAGACGCTGGTCCATATTCTCACACAAATACACACACATAAAGTGAGAGAATATGTGATACACAAACCCCCTCTCGAGCATTCTACAGGAATTTATAGATGCCTATAGGGTCACTATGAGTCGGAATTGGCTTAACGGCAATGGTTTATTGCAATAATAAATCACATTCACATTTCTTTTAACACTTTCGAAAATGTAGCACACTGAGAAGTAAACAGAGTAAGCAATTTAGGTTTTGCCTATTATCCTGTATTTCCATTTACTGTCTGAAACTTTGTTGTGTTAATATGTTTAATAAATACGGTTGACTAAGTGTATTCTGAATTAGCATTACTATTACTAGCTCCTTAAGGAGGGCTGGTTTTCCCCTAATTTGGGTTTTCCCTTATTGGAACTTTGTGTTTTAATTAAAAAACCACCAAAGTCATTGTTTTCTACTCTGAAACAGAAGTTCCCGTGGTATTTTCCGACGAGAAAAGATGTTGAAGAAGACAGCCTTCACAAAGACCACACTGGTCCCCTTTTAGCTGAGATCCAGATCTGCGTTTCTTACCCTGTAAGCACATTACCCAGCAGTTCCCACATCAAATGCATTCAACTTTCCCCCAAACTCATCCCTCCTCCTGGCTAATGGTTAATGGTTCTGCCACCTGCTCTGTCACAAAGCTAGAACCTTAAGGTCACCATAAAAATGAAAAAAAAAAAAAGAAGCCAATGACCGTCAAGTCAACTCTGACACAATGGGGTCTCGTAGTGATCCCATATGCTCTATAGGGTTTTTCAATGGCTGATCTTTCAGAAGTAGATTGCCAGGGCTTTCTTGCAAGGCACCTCTGGGTAGACTCAAACCTCCAACCTTTCAGTTACCAGTGAGCCTGTTTGCACCCCCCGGGGGCTCCACATTTGTCATTAATTAACTGTGCTGTAAGCTAGGCATATTACGTGGATCAGGGTTTTTCAACCCCAGCACTACTGATATTTTGGGTGAGATAATTTTTTGTTTTGGGGTCTGCCTTGTACATTGTATGATGTTTAGTAGCTCTAGCAAATAAATGCCAGTAGCAAACCACTGCTCCTCCATCTCTCAACTATGAACCCATAAATGTCTTTAGACATTGCCAAATGTTTGCTGGAGGGCAAAATCAACTCTGGCTGAGAACCACTAAGAACCACTGAGAACAACTGAGAACAACTAACTTCCATTTCATGTTGTGCAGATGAGGAAGCTGGGCCTCCAAGGAATTAAGAAACTCGAAGATGGTCATGTGGCTGCTAAGTGGCAGAGCTAGATTTCAAACCAAGGTCTTTCTGACCACAAAGTAAAAAGCTGTCTACTTTCTCTTTGCTGCCTCTGATGCTCAATTCTCTCTCACACAATTTTGTTTTGTTTGTAATCCAGCCATGTTAATGTTTCATTTGGAATGTCTTGCTTTTGCCCCCTGCTTTCTATTCCTCATGCTATTGACTTCTCATGCTATTAGGTTATAATAACAAGGCTTTTAATTTATCTCCCTGATTTCAGTTTCTTCTTCTTTCAGTTTTCCTTTCACATTGCTGGCAGGGCTAGCTTTCCTCAAACAGGTATTATCCTATAACTGCCCTACTGGAAACCTGTGCTGTTCCCACTGCCTATAGCAGTGGTTCCCAAAGGGTGGTCCTTGGACCAACAACATCACTATCATCTAGGAAATTGCTAGATGCAGATTCTTGGGTCCCACCCCAGATCTACAGAATCCTGCAGGAACTCTGGGTTGGGGCTCAGAAATCTGTGTTTTGACACACCCTTCAGCATAAGGTCACTATGAGTCGGAATCAACTCAACGGCAACTGGATTGGTTTTTTTTTTTGGTTCAGCAAGGTCTGATGCACACTGAAGTTTGAGTTTCTCTGGTCTACCCAATAAAGTTCTAATGCCTCAGAATGTCGTAGAAGCCCTGACTTCCTTTTCTACCATGGCCCTTGACCTTCTCCCCGCCCATCACGCCCCACCCACTTGCCAGCTTTTCACTTTCATTCTTTCATCATCTGTCAAACATCTGTTTGCCTTTCTGTACTAAGTACTGTTAATATAAACAGGACAGTGCCAACTCCTAAGTTGCTCACAGCCATACCATACTACCACACCATATCATTTCAAGCCACAAACCTCTACCATTGTGTCTTCTTCCTGGTGAACTCCTATGTCTTTTGTGGTTCAATCTTAAAGGTCTTTTTCCTCTGTTACTCACCCCCCTGGTCCCTGTTGCTGTCAAGTCAATTCTGACTCATGGTGACCCCATGTGTGTCAGAATTGAACTGCATTCCACAGTGCCTCAGAAGGAAGGCCAGGTAATCAGCTTCCGGAAGGTCAAGAGCATGGAAACCACACGGAATGCAGTTCTCCTCTGTAACACATGAGGTCACCATGAGTTGGAATGGACTTCACAGCAACTTTTTCTTTTTTAAATCTTGTGGGGAAGGCCCCTGGGGGGAGCAAACAGTCTGCCCTCAACTCCTAATTAAAAGGTTGGCGGATGGAATCCACCCAGCAGTGCCTTGGAAAAAAGGCTGTAAGATGGTTGTTGTCAGTTGCTGTCAAGTTAATTCTGACTCATGGTGACCCCATGTGTGCAGAGTAGAACTGCACTCTATAAGGATTTCAGGCTATGACAGTTTGGAAGCAGTTAGCCAGGCCTTATTTCCGAGAAGTCCCTAGCTAGATTTGAACTGTCAACCTTTTCGTTAGTAGTCTAGTGCTTAACCATTTGTGCCACCCAAGGACTCCTTCCATAAGATCACAGTTCTTATGGGGCACAGTTCTACTCTGAAACATAAGGGGTTGCCATGAGTCAGAATTGACTCATGGGCAATGGGTTCCCTTTTTTTTTAATCTTATGGGAGTAGGTCGCCAGGCCTTTCTTCTGCCGCCAGAGGGCTAATCCTGCTTTTCCTTGTGCTTCACTAGCCTTACACATCTGCCTGCCACTTCACTTACTCCACGGTGCCATTAGCATTCGTTTACCAGTCTCCAGGAACACAGGTTACATGAGGGAAGCACCTTCCCTCATCTTTGTATACCCAGCATTGTGACTGGCACTCAGCTGGGTACACATCAGAATCATCTGGCAGCTTTTAAAAATATGGGTGCCAGGACCCACCCACTGACCTACAGAATCAGAATCTCTGCAAATCTGTATTTTAAAAAGCCCCACACCATAGCTGAATCATGCACAATGCCCTGCACAGAAACCAAACCCAACCCCAACCCAAACCTGTTGCTGTTGAGTCAGTTTCGACTTATGGTGACCCCCATGTGTTAGAGAATAGAACTGCTCCATAGAGGTTTCTTGGCTGTAATCTTACAGAAGCAGATTGCCAGGCCTTTTTTTCGTGGTGCTGCTGGGTGAATTCCATCCACCAACCTTTAGATTAGCAGCCGAATGCAAACCATTTGTGCTACCCAGGGGCCTTGCTCTACACAGAGCAGGTATTTAATAAATATTTCTTGAATGTCTGGTCAATTACTTAGCAAGGCTGCCTGGAGAATTATCTATACCTACCTCTCAGCTCCTTCTCCAGCTTTGGGACTTTTCACTTTTGATTTCACTTTCTACTTCCTGTAACTTAAAAGCATCTGCACAACAACCAAACAGCAGTTATTACTGAAAACAAGGGCAATCTTTTGATTCTAATTGTTGACCTCATCTCTGGTGTCTAAGGTTAGTATATTGACTCATTTCTCACTATCTCAGATATACAGCAGTAACCTCAAATTGGGGTGACCTGTTAAACAGTCCCTGAAGTATCCTTCAGAATTCTAGTCACTCTGTGGCTACTGGTCCCCAAAGAGGCCGTGGCTGCTGATCACGGTGATCCGCATTGTCCTTTAAGGTGGTTGTGCGACCTTAAACCCATTCACCTGTAGCCCTCCGACTCTACTCTCAACCCGACGTGCCCGGAGGGCAGGCGCGGCGGGAGCTGTTAAAAGCCGAAAGGTCAAAGGCAAAGGGCTCTTCAGTGGCGAATGAATGGGGAAATCACCCCAGAAAGGGCGCAGTCTACTGCTGGTATCGGGAAAGCGAAACTCAACTGTTAAAACCGCCGCCCCTGCTCTTTGAAATCTCGTCTCGAGACTCGCCGGGCGTCCCAGCCCGCACTCCAGGCGGCGGCGGCCCTGGCCCACCGGCTCTGAGCCATGTACTCTCGCAGCAGGGTGGTGGGCTCCGGCCTGGGCGCCACCCCCGCCTCCCGCCCAGCCTCGGACCCCTCTGCGCGGCGCCAGGAGCTGGGCCCGCCGCCAAGCCAGAGACGAGGTTTGGAGTCGGCCCCCGAGGACCCTCCGCGGGAGAGCTCGGAGCGCGCGGGCCAGGGACTCGTGCGGTAAGTATTTAACAACCTCGTGTGGGGGGCGGGAGCCCGGGCCCCAAACAAACTCACAGGTACCTTCTAGACTGATGGAGCTTAAAGCTGCAGGGACCCAATGACAGGGTTGTTGAGGGAAATGAAGGTTCATTTCCCTAAACAAAAGCATTCATGAATTATCTTCTAACTGAGGTCCTTTGACAAATATCCCAGTCCTCATCCTTTCAAGAAGCAGAAAACCTGAGTCTGTGACTCTCCAGGATTGACAGATAAGGGTGTGTAGAAACCACCTGGCTTTCTTAATAATTTTGTACGTATCTCTAGAACTCATACTCTAATATGACAATAAGTTTTCCCTTACTGTTATATAAAATTAGTGCCCTAAATGGCATTGCCACATCAGCTGCCAGGATAAGGGGCAAAGAAGGAATGCGATCTGGGGTGGTTGCTGTCACCTGTCCTGTAGTTGCCCCCACTCATGATAGCCCCATGCACGACAGAACAGAAGGCTGCCCAATCTTGGGCTGTCCCCATGATCAGTTGCAGATTGGACCATTGTGATCCATAAGATTTTCATTAGCTGATTTTGAGCAGTAGATTGCCAGACCGTTCTTCCTCACATGCTTTAGTCTGGAAGCTCCGCGGAAACCTGTTCATCATCATAGCAACACACAAACCTCCACTGACAGGAAGTGGCTGTGCATGAAGTGTGTTGGCTGGGAATGGAACCCAAGTCACCTACATGGAATACGAGAATTCTGTCCCTAAACCACCAGTGCCCCCGTGTGATCCCGGGTAGGTAGAAGATCTACATGCTACCTCTAGGAGTGAGCTTCCATCCCAGGGATACTCCCAGACCAACTAGCCTCCTAGAGCCAGAGGAGTGGGCCTGTATGGTGTTCCCAGGCCACTTTTCTCTGGTGCTGATATGTGCTACACACAAACAGATATGTGGCATTTATCCTCGGTCTTTGGTGAAAAGGACTACAGTTGGTATCCTGGAGATATTTATTATACAGAGTGCCAGTGATCCTTTCTTTCCTTCCCAATGCAATGAGCTTCTTTAACTTAACACTATAGTTTGTGAAGACATTGAACCAAAACCAAACCTATTGCTGTTGAGTCGATTCTGACTCATAGTGACTCTGTAAGACTACAGCTGCCCCATAGGGTTTCCAAGGAGCGGCTGGTGGATTCGAACTGCCAACCTTTTTTTGGTTCCCAGCTGGCCTCTTAACCACTGCACCACCAGGGCTCCTGTAAAGACATTACTGCTTTTGAAGTGCTGCCTCAATGAATCGCTAACTGTCCAAATGGTTTTATTTTTAGTTTTCCCTTTTTCATAAACTTCTAGCCACATGAAAGGCAAACACTGGTTGGTAAGGAACAGTATATAACCTTATAACCAGCAAACAGTAGATTTTCTTTCATCCCTTAACTTTTGAAAGAATTCCTAAGTACTGGGCTTTTAATATTACTCAGGTAAGTTACTCTTAGATGAGGTGGATGATCTGCATGATTTCAAATAGATGTTGCTGCATTTCTCCCACCCTGGGAATAATAACTATTTTGCAACACTAGAAGTTCATTAATTCAAGTAACCTAGAAATGTATAAGCCGTAGTATTTAATAGTAATGGAGGACATGGACATTTGTTTAGGTTGATGATAAACACCATTTACGTGTCATTTTTTTTTCTATTAAAAAGCATCTACTTAGATATACCCATTTATTTGCCAGCTCATATCATCTCATAAACATTAGCAGTTGCTTCTGTTTTCTTATTTGGTTATAAATTACCTTATCATCTTGCTGGACCAAATGACTCAGAAAGGGGCAGTTTTCTGATTATCCAGGCCTAAAGACCCTGAGGAAACCCTGGTGGTGTAGTGGTTAAGAGCTATGGCTGCTAACCAAAAGGTCAGCAGTTTGAATCCACCAGGCGCTCCTTGGAAACTCTATGGGGCAGTTCTACTCTGTTCTATAGGGTTGCTATGAGTCGGAATCGACTTGACGGTCAACAGGTTTGGTTTTTTTTTTTTTTGAAAGACCCTGAAGACCTCCCTGCTACTGTTTTGTGATTTCTAAGAAGATTTGCAAGTAGACCATTAGAGAGAGTACAGGGGAGAGCTCAGGTATCTTTCCCACAACTCTTCATTTTTTCACGTGAACCAGTTATAGTGAGCAGAGCACTGCGATCCATTCCCTTCTAGGTGTTAACTTCTAAGATCCTGTTGGGACCACTCTGAATTCTTCTTACATCTCCGCTAGTCCCTTAGATCTACTGTTTATTCTCACTTGTCTCCTTTAATGGAAGTGAGCAACCACAGAGAATGGTTAAATGGCAAGTAGCATCTCTATCGAACCCATTTAAGTAAAGTCAGAGGAAGGTTTTATTTATTTGTTTATTTGGAGAGAAATTAGAAGGCTATTCTGATGGAAATTTAAGAAAAAAGGAAGAATAACGTTAAGGGCTTTAATAGTGAAGCTTAGTGTTCCGTTTCAATTTGCACTTATTTGTTGAACATAAGGTCACCAGGAATCGAACTCGAGGGCAACTATCTATGTTTATTGCCCGACTACTGTGCTAAGTCACCCTCAAGTCAGGAGTTTGTCCCTTGTAAAAACACACTGATGTAAAACACCTACTTATCTATAAATAAGATACACTAGTAAAAATCTATGGCAGTCTGTTAAACTTTCTGAAGACCTCTCATAAACCCTCAAGCAAGGCTGAGTTGTTGACTATATTTGGAGGTAAATAATTCCAAATACAGTAAAACCTGTGAAAGCCAGAACCTGTGTAAGGCGGAAGCCTGTCAGAAAAGGAAAACTCTAATATTTTCCATTAATAGAGAGCGATAGAAAAGTGATTAGACTGCACCCCGTCAGAGGCAGAAAACGTGCGAGACCTGGAAAAACAAGGCGGTCCTGTCGAGTTCCGGCTCTCACAGGTTTCACTGTGTTTACTCATATTGGCTTTCCTGATTGTTATTACTTGGCGATTTTATCTTGTCCCTAAATAGTGTAGACTATGTACACAGATTTAAAAAGAAAAAAGTTTACACAAAATTCTAATCCAAAGTAATCTTTTATTCCCCGTTTCAATGTATTGCTTGATTATAAACACCTTACAGTAACTTATATCACATCTACTTAAATACCAGACTAAAGCAGAGATTTTTCTGGAAGAGATTTTCACCTAGCTTTACCCAGTTCTTGACAACAGGCTTTTGTCTGTGGTATTAGTAATATGTTGTTGTTGTTAGGTGTCGTCTAGTTGGTTCTGACTCATAGTGACCCTGTGTACAACAGAACGAAACACTGCCCAGTCCTGCGCCATCCTCACAGTCATTGCTGTGTCTGAGCCTATTGTTGCAGCCACTCTGCCAGTCCATCTCATTGAGGGTTTTCCTCTTTTCCACTGATCCTCTACTACTCATGAGGTCCTTCTCCAGGGACTTATCTATTCCTCCTGATAACATGTCCAAAGTATATGAGATGTAGTTTCACCATCCTTGCTTTTAAGAAGCATTCTGGCTATACCTCTTCCAAGACAGATTTGTTCATTCCTTTGACAGTCCATGGTATATTCAATATTCTTCACCAACACCATAATTCAAAGGCATCAATTCTTCTTTGGTCTCCTTTATTCAGTGTCCAGCTTTCACATGCATATGAGGTGATTGAAAACACCATAGGGCTTACTTTATTCAGACACTTGTCTGTAACCATACCTGGAAGTGGTCTTCAGCTTGGAGTTGTTTGAAAGGAATAAAAAGATATTCTGAAAATGAACCCATGTTGTGGAATTTTACTATGAAGTTAACTTTAACATAATTACATACAGATTCGGTTTACCTTAACATATTTGTAAGCTACTTTATCTTGCACAGAGTCCTTGGATGGTACAAATGGTTTTACATGCTCGGCTACTAACAGGTTGGTTTGAATCCACTCAGAGGTGCCTTGGAAGAAAGGCCCAGTGATCTACTTCCAAAAGATCAGCCATTGAAAACCCTGTGGTGCACAGTTCTACTATGACACACATGGGGTCACCATGAGTCGGTGTCTGCTCCATGACAGCTGGTTATATTGTGCACTGGAGAGGCTTAAAGATGAGCAATAGCAGCACACACTTACGTATTCTTTACTGTGTGAAAGAGCACCACATATATTAACTTTTTCAATCCTCTCAACAACGCTGTAATAAGAGAAGATCTCTAGCTCGGGATACTTAATTAAAAATGTGGGAACAAATAACTATTCAATGCAAAAGATGCTGTTCTGGAGCTTATTGTCTAATCGTCGGGGCAGGCATTAATCAGATAATTACACGAATAACTCTTTATAAGTACTATAAAAGAAATCCAGGGCCTGAGCTAGTCTTGGGAGCAGGAAAAGTTTTCCTGGGAGGTGATGTTTGAGCTGTGATCTACAGGGTCCTTTGGAGTTTTAATGGCCTCTGTGGCAGCTAGGGAAGCTTGCTGTTCAGATCTCCTTCAAAAGAACCTACTACAGGGAGCTCAGTTCACTGCTAGTGCCAGCAACTGCCCGTTGGATCCACTCCACCCTTTGCTTTGAGAGCAGGCTTACTCTACACGCTCCCAAGCCAATGTCTGAGTGGGGCAGGGTGCTGGTGCACTCCCCAGCCAATGTCTGAGCGGGGCAGGGTGCTGGTGCACTCCCCAGCCAATGTCTGAGCGGGGCAGGGTGCTGGTGCACTCCCCAGCCAATGTCTGAGCGGGGCAGGGTGCTGGTGCACTCCCCAGCCAATGTCTGAGCGGGGCAGGGTGCTGGTGCATTCCCCAGCCAATGTCTGAGCGGGGCAGGCTGCTCATGCCAGCCCATCCCCGGCCCATGTGGAACCCCTCCATTGGGCAACTTTTGCTTGAAGATTCCCTGCTGGCCTGTGCAAGATTTTCCCAGAACTGTATAGAAGCCTGATTGTTATTCATTAGGGAGCTATTTAACTCAATCTTCAGGCTAGGCTCATAAGCTTTCAGAAAGTTTGTAAA